ATCGTTGATAATTATATAATGGCGAATGAGGAAAATTCTTTGTAAATTTTTTTTTTCAATAACATTAAATAAAATTTCTTAATCCATTTGAAAAATAAAATAAACCTATATAAATTAGACGGATGAATTATCTTATGTAATCTTGTCAAGAGAGCAGTTTTTGTCTTTAGCAAAAAAAGTAAAGGCTACTAATTATATTGAGTGATTTATGATTGATCATATAAAATTTAATTATTGAAACTTGGATAATATATGTCCAAACCATATGATAGCTGGAAAAAGTTTTGGAATCAATTGTAATTATTTGAAAAGTTTTGGACTTAATTATAACTGAAACTAAAGTTTAAGGAAAACATATGCAATTAAACCAATGAGAGAGAATTTGACATGAACTTGAAGATTGAATTTTTATCTATATAAATATACTTCATAGGGCCAAATTCTATAGCTAGAAAGAGAGAAATTTTTTAAAATAATTGTTTTCTAGATATTTTCTTGGTCGGTCAAGTCTAGAATTCGGTTTTTTGGTTTAATCAAAAGCAATCGTCCTCACTTTAGTGCAATTCTAACTTTGAAGAAAGTTTATGATTCAACAATCAATTATGAATGAGTAAATTTTTTATCTACCTTTTTTTTAAACATATGGACAAACACAAAATCAACGCTTCTTCGAATGAAATTGAAGAACTCAGCTAAAGGCAAAAATTTCCGTTGATTTTCTTCCTCTATTTTTATTTATTTATTATTATTATTTTTTTTTTCTGGATGTCAATATTATTATTATTATTATTATTATTATTTTTTCTGGATGTCAATAAAACTATAATAAATAAACAATCAAACCACCCCTTTTGCCATTACGCTGGGACTCTATCAGCCCGCACTATCTGCAACGGCTCATCGTCAAGGTTAGTTTTCCCAACGCCCATAATTTTCGATTCTCGAAAACCCATAAAATTTTCACTCTTTTTATTGCTCCTGTTCTAGGCTGGATTCAATTTGAACTATAGGGTTCGCTTCCTGTTTCTTTGTTAGTATTCGTAGTCAAATTTTCATTATAATTTGAATTTTAACAGAGAATTGGGAGTTTTAGGAGCTATAAATAGGGTTTGTTTTTATTTGAGCTACATGGAAATTGTGTTAGTAAGAAGGGGGTTGGATTTTACTCGAAGAAACAAAAAATGGATAATCTTACTGGGATTGATCGGATGTTCGAGTTATGGTATGTACAAAGTGTATCACATGCCCTCAGTTGTGAGGAAAAGGATGAGAATTGTGAAGCTGTTTGGAGCCATAATTTCAATAGCTGAAATGGTCTCTGAATCTTCGGAGACAATTAGTGTCTTGTCCAAGGATTTCAAGGAGTTTCTGGAGTCTGATTCAGATGAAATTCCTACTAGTTTGAAGCAATTGTCAAAGATTGCTCAATCAAAGGAGTTTTTGGAGTCTCTGACTCGGGTTTCCCAGGCAATGACAATTGGGATTTTAAGGGGTTATCGGGTAGGGAGTAGTAGCAGTGAGATACAAGAACTGGGCAATTCAAGTTATTCTGATCGGGTTATGGATAAGTTGATGTCAACTACTGGGACTGGGTTTATTTCGAATATTGTTGGTAGTTTTGCTAGGAATTTGGTTACGGGGTTTTATGCTAATGGTAAATCAGTTGAAGGGTTGAATGAAAATGATGACTTGGGTATGTCGCATGTTAACTCTAATTTATCAGGTCTGCCAAAATGGGTTGATGTGGTATCAGATGATAAATGTAGAATGTTAATAGCCAATTGTATCAAGACGTTCGTGAGCACTGCAGTCACTGTTTATCTTGATAAAACTATGGACGTTAATTTCTACGATGAAATGTTCTCTGGCCTTACCAATCCTAATCATCGGAATAAGGTGA